ACCTAAGTCCGATAAGCGTAGGACCAAACACTTCAGTGTGTTATCCACATAAAAGTACAATGCCAACCAACATTTCACTGTCTGGAACACTGTACCTCTTTTATTGCCTCTCACCTGCCAGAGCTTGGTAAGCATAGCCTCTGAAATCAGATCCTGGAGGCAGTTTATCCGCCTTTCACCCAAGAGGAATTAAATCATCTTGTAGTCCACTGTGTATAAAGGTAGGATTTGCATCTGTGGCTGCAAAGTACATGCTGGCTTATTAAACCTCAGCACCAGGAACAAGACAGCTCTTGATGGTGAGAAATCAGAACATTACCTTAGGATCAGCTGTGAGCAATTTAAATGCTTGATACACTTGAGCTTCCTTTACTCCACCACCAAGATCCAAGAAGTTGGCTGGCTTCCCACCATTAAGGGAAATGATGTCACAGGTAGCCATGGCCAGCCCAGCACCATTCACTGTGAAATGCAAACGATACACAAAAGGGATACATTCAGTAACATGAAAGGGGCATAAGCTTTTCCCTGTCCCACACTGCCAAAAGACAGCTCTATCACTGCCAGCCTAATTTCTGTCCTGTTTGGAATTTTTTCAACCAAATAAGTTCAGAGACTTTTAGGATAAATAAGCAGGGAACGCACACACAAAGGATAAACCAAAAAGGCCTGTATATGAGTAGAAAGATTTAGTGAGAAGTTAAATCAATCTGGGAAACAGAAAGAAGGCAAGAGTTTTAAAAAGTAATCAATCTGGGCTAGTATTAGAGGAGGGAGTTTTAGGTTCAGCGAAGTGTAGAGTGTAATTAGGAAAGAAAGAAAAAGTCTGTGAGAAGTTGCTAGGGTCTAAGAATTACATTCTTTTTAATATTCTTTAAGAGACTTGAGTAAAGAAGGGAATTCCTTTAATTTTTTGTTTGCTGAAAATATGCTCCTTTGAACGTGGCATTCCTCTGGGATTGAACCATAGGGGCCCTACCTCTGGTAACGTTTCATACGTTTTTACACTTACTGCAACCATGCATATTTATATAATGTTACCTGGCTAAACTTTAGAAAGCAAATGTACAAATGACAGCACCAAAAATAGTATTTCTACCCCTTGTTTCTCTTTCATGTTAATATATTTTCACTAGCATCTTGATAAGGAGCCCTGGTGGTGCAGTGGTTAAGAGCTATGGCTGCTAATCAAAAGGTCGGCCGTTCGAATCCACCAGCCACCCCCTGGAAACCCTACAGGGCAGTTCCACTCTGTCCTACAGGGTTGCTAAGAGTCGGGATTGACTCAATGGCAGTGGAAGGCAGCATCCTGATTATTAAAACTAGAAGCAATATGTGCTAACAACTTAGGAGCTTTTCTTAAGAAACCAAGTAAAGAGTTTTAATATCTCAATTGTTGTTTTCAAGAGCCAAGTTTTACTGATCAATCGCATTTCTTTAGCTTCTTATGCTTAATTACATAAAATCACTTCCCTTAGGTTGGAAAGCAAAAAAATCTCTTGACCATACTGAAAACTCTCAAGGCAAAATATCCTTTATTTTTCTGACCCTTGAATTCCCAAGTATGTCTCTGAACTGTGATCAATTTAAGTATGGAGCAACTACAATAATGGTTGAAACAATTTAAAGAGTGTTCGTTGTAGCTTTTGATGCTTCTACGTGGTCAAATCATGCACATCCCTACAGAGACTACAAAGACTCTGCATTTAGTATGTTCTAAACACACCAATATTTATCTTTTCCCTTTCTAAACATTTACACATATTGTGAGTGCATTAGCTTATCAGCATTGGAATGATGTGAGTGATCCAGTACATCACAGTTATTGCACCAATAAAAAGCAAGTCCTTTTGATTTCACTTGTAATTGGATGTCATCTTCTATTGTACTGAACAGAAAACTACTGGATGAGGTCTCTTTGGTTCTGAATATAATGACACCATTGGTTTAATGAGCTACAAATCTTTTTTATTTTAATTCCATTAAGATTAAGACCTCAGTTTCCAGTGCAATGAATTGGTTCTATAAGAAACATACTCTTTTGCAATTAAGTCAGAAGAGCATAAATCTCAGCACTATAAGCTGTGGACAATAACAGAAATTGTATTGCCTCTATAGACCCATTCTTATCTCAGCTGAATAAGCCATTTTCACAAATTTAGATGAGAATGATGAAATCAATTGTTTCATTAATAAACTGGCATAATGGATTAAATATTTTATCACTTGGTTATCATAGATTCTGAACCTTTGGTATAATGATTCAGGTATATGCCCTCTTCTACTTCCTCAAAGAAAGTAATTTTATTTTAAATCTAATTTCAGAATAGTTCCTAGCATATTTACAGTGATTTAATAGCAAAGGCTCTGATGTGTACTGTGCAAAGTTTCACTGAGATGCTTTAGACCAGTGGTTCTCAACTGGGGCGATTTTACCTTTCTCAATATATTGGGCATTGTGTGGAGACATTTTTGGCTGTCACAACTGGGGGGTGCTAGTGTTATTCAATGGGTAGAGGCCAGGGATGCTGCTAAACATCCTAAGAGGGACAGTCCCCCACAACAGAGCATCATCCAGCCCAAAATGTCAATGGTGCCGAAGCTGAGAAATTCTGCTTTAATCCCGTGACGACTGACTAAAATGAACTTCCGGATGAAAACTCTGGATTGCTTCCTAAAACTTTTTGGCTAGAAAAAAAATGATATGTTTACTTGTTATTGGGGAATAACATTTCAGAAATCAGGGGTACCTCAAATCTGTAAAAATCCACCAAGCATTCTTTCGATATAACTACTTTCTTACCAAAGCAAGCGATGTTCCCATCCAGTCCTATGTATTTTAGATCATATTTGGCAGCTTCATTTTCAATTGGCTCATTCTCTGATTTGTCGTCCATGGCAAATATATCCTTTTGTCGGAATTCTGCGTTGTCATCAAAGTTTATCTTGGCATCAAAACAGACAACTAAATAAAGAAAAAAGGAACACATCTGAATCTCTCTTGGGGATCTATAAATTAGGCCCTTTAGCCTGGAAGCATAGAAAGAAAAAAGGTAAGATACTGTCATTTTTGTTCATGCTACAGGCAGGAGAAGCTATTCTGCCTTTCTTGACCCTTAATCTTTGGGGTAACCAAGAAAAACATGACATGGTCCCTGTTCTCAACAGACTTACATTCTAATAGGAAAAAACCCCAAACTAACTGCTGATCATCACCTTTCTCTTTTAAGAGAGAAGAGATAATGCTGCATACAACTTGGATTCTCCATTTTTTAAATAAATTTTTATTTTTAGTATTTAACTGCTGATTATCACCTTTCTATTTTAAGGAAAGAAAGACTAGATAATACTGCTTAATCCTGTTGACCTTCTCTGCCCTTCTTCTGAGGCTGCAAAGTGAACTTTTATATAATCAGTATCCTCACTAGTATTTTTGAAAGATTTAGTGGAAAGAACACTGGGCCAAAATCAATAGCTTTTTCACTTGATTCCTAACTAACTCTGTAACCTTGATAAAATAATCTTATGTCTCTGGGCCTTGATTTTCTTATTTGGAAAATGGGAACAAGAACCCCTTTTCTGCTGACATACTTGCTTTACCAAAACCAAACTCACTGCCATCGAGTTGGTTCCAACTCATGGCAACTCCATGTGTTAGAGTAGAAATGCTCCATAGGATTTTCTTGGCTGCTATCTTTATGGAAGCAGATCACCAGGGCCTTCTTCCACTTGGTGAGTTCAAACCACCAACCTTTAGGTTAGGAGACAACACACACCATTTGTACCACCCAGGGACCTGCATGCTTTGGGGTCTGCTAAAACTAGGGTCATTCCCTTGATTTGTATGGGATCACCTTATGATTCTTTTAACCCAAGTCATAAAATGCTGAGACCAAGACTGGTCAGTTACAATGACAGGATGCCAGGTATTGTCAGCACCATTTTCTCCACCCTCTGCTTGCTGGTGGAAGTCCCCAACTGTCTTGATAGCCAATAGCCCTGAATCAGAGAAACTCACTAGATGATAGGGAAGAACCAACTGTGTTCTCCCTGGTTGACAGGAGATCTTCTATACGTGCATTGAGGGAGAGTTTGAGGAGAAAAGGCATATATCTGGGTGTCTGGATTCTGATCCTTTTTATTTTCTGCCTTGAGTAGAAATTAGTTGTCTACAATGGCATTAAACCATAACATTCTTTTACTTTATTTGGCATGTTGATAGGCAGCACTCTTTGATCAAGAATTCACAGATGGTTACCCATTCTTCCCCAGCATTGCTAATGTGTACCTAACTCTTGACAGGAAAACAATCCTGACATATCTCATGCAAAAGCAATGGTTGTTGTTGTCAGATGCTGTCCGGCTGCCCACAACTCATGGTGACTCCACACACAACAGCATGAAACACTGCCTGGTCCTGTGCCATCCCAACAATCAGCTGCAGATCAGACTGTTGTGATCCATAAGGTGTTCACTGGCTGATTTCTGGACTAGATCACCAGGCCTTTCTTTCTAGTCCATCTTAGTTTGGAAGCTTTGCATCATAGCAACACGCAAGCCTCTACCAACACACAGGTGGTAGTTATGCATGAAGTGCAGTGGCAGGGAACTGAACCCAGGTGTCTCACACGGAGGTACAAATTCTACCACTGAACCACCACTGCCTCCAAAAGCAATGGTCTGTTAATCCCATTTGATTCCTAGGAAAAGAAATATTGCAGCAATATGGCATCTGAAGTTACAGGCTTACAGGGAAGAATTTTCCAAAGGTCTCCCCAACACAACACTCAAGTACCTTGACACAAACCTGTGCAGAACTGGCATATTAACAGCTAACAAAACTCAACATACATAAACGTCCAAATCAAAAATGACTTAAAGTAGCACTGACTGACAATGGAAGTTAATGTCTGCCTGAGTCCTTAGTCATGCCACAAAACATCCAATCGCTTTAACCACACACTGTGAATACATGGAATGAATGACTAATTACTTTCCAGAATACTGAAATCTTAATGATAGAATCCTGCAATTACCAGAGGAATTGGCCAATGTTCTCTGTTTGCTACAACAGCATTTTCTCAGCCATTAATGACCAGTATAATAATCAATAGGAAAGAAGCTTCATTCTTGGCTTTGTACTGGGTTTATAAATATGTTTTAACTAATTTATTAGTAATTTTAGCCCCTGCATTACTCATTGGCAAGACTACTTGTAACTGACACCTTCAAAATGAACAGGCAAAGGCTATCAAATTGACTTCCTAAGTGAAGAGTTTCACATAAAAGAATTCTTTGTGGAGATCAATAAACCAGTAAATCAAAATAGTTTCAAGCTGAACTTTACCCCTTACAAAGACTACAGTTATAAGCTACTTGACAGAGCGCATAATTAATGGTTGTATTTGCAAAGTTCAGATGGTAGTCCCAGCTAAATGCCTGCAAAGCCAGATATTCAAAAGATGCTTTCCTGAGGCTATGATATGTGTACCAAGTACAGAAATGAGTTCGCTGTTTGGGAACGACCTTGAGAGAACTTTATACTTAAACCAGAGCTTGAAGACAGTGATTGCGGAATAAAAGGATCCTTGTCAATTTTCTCCTGCCTGTACAGAAAACCGAATGATGCTAACTATGTCTACATATATCCAAGTGCTTGCGAAGTTAGAAACATTATATAAATATCAGGTAAGTAAGGGCACAAACAGTTAAACACCCAACTATTAGC